ATGTATGTATGTGTATACATGTATGTATGTGTACGTCTATGTGTGTGTACATACATGTGTGTGTGCATATACAGTATGTGTATGTGTGTATATGTGTGTGCATATGTGTGCATATGTGTGTGCATATTTGTGCGTGTGTGTTATACAGTATACTGTACTTGTAGGTGTGTATGGGTGTGTGTGCATATTTTTACATGCATGTGTGTGTGTGTGTGTGTGTGTGTGTGTGTGTGTGTGTGCATGTGTGTGCATGCATGCATGCGTGCATTTGTGTGTGTGTGTGTGAGGAGCTCCGGAGAGGTGGAGGTGTCACGTTCTCCTTCTCCACAGATGATGGATCGCAACAGTGCGCAGAACAAAACCAAACATTCCTCATGCTGTCAGCACAATGAAACAGGGACATAACAGGATTTGGTCACAATGCGAGCGGAGCACTTGAGAGAGATGCCAGCCCATCATGCCACTTCTACTGGAAGTCAAAGACTCCATCCATCACAGAGAACATCCCCGTAGCGTTTGACTGGGGCCCGTGCTCGTGTCTTTCCTGGGACTCCCCAATCTAACGCTCGGCTCTAAATGATGAATTCATTGGAATGGCCATTGTTTTGTTGTTCTTTCTTCTGAGGCGAGGGGCATAAAAACACGGCACACCATTTTATCTAATATATTCAATATAGTGTGGTGTATAGAAACATCATTCAGGGGGACTCTAGGGAACTGACTTTGGAAGTGGAGTCATAAAACGCTTAGGAGAAACACAAGTAAGTTCAAATACTAAAATAGAAACAAAGGCTTTTCAAAATATTCAGTGGCTGCCAATAAACAATATAATACTACAAAAATAATACTAATGCTGCAAATGTGTCATTTATTTTACTAGAAACCAATATCCTGGTAACCAATACTTGAATAGATATTGTTATATCTCACTCAGAGTATGGTCGCCGCTGTGCAACCCATCTCCAGATGTTGATGCTCTGATTGCTAACGTCATTCAGGGGGCAGAACTGATCCTAATCTTTTCAGGACCAAGAAGTACCTATTGTACATGTTTTAGTGGCAGGGGAAACCGGAGCACCCCATGGAAACCTACAGAGAGACACTGCTCTGACCAGGATTCGAACCCAGGATCTTGTTGCTGTGAATCAAGAGTGCTAACGAGAAAGACAAGAGGGGTACAACTTTGAGTTGCCTTGTGTATGAATTGTGCTATACAAATAAACTTGCCTTGCCTTGTCCCAACAGAAAAAATCTTGTAAAATTAAAATGTTAAGGACAAAACAGACCACAACATACTGTCACTAGATGATGCATTGGGCTGAGATATGAGGTGAGCTGAGTGAAAAGCTGAATAAAAATGTGCATAGAAGGAACCAGGGACGGAAGCAAGGAACTCATTGATGGATTTTATTACACAGCTTATGTTTGGGGCGACAGTAGCTCAGTTGGTAGAGCATTGGCCTTAAGCCCAGAAGGTCGTGGGTTCAATTCCCACCTCTGCACCTTCTCCACCGACTCCCACTGATGACTGCTGTCGTTGTGTCCTTGGGCAAGACACTTAACCCCACTTTGCCCAAAAAAGCCCCCACTGAAAGATCAAGGCTATGCTCACACTCAGAGAGCAGCCGTCCTCCTGTGGACTCACCACCTGCAGAGGGTCAGTGAGGGGCTGGTGCTATGAGACTTGGGTGGCATCTCTGACTGCCACCCCCCTGACCCAGAAATGGATTAAAGGGTAGAAAATGGATGGATGGATGGAGCTTATGTTTTTAATGTTCTTTGAAAGAGTTACTGTTTTTACCACAGCTTTAAGTAAAATCTTTTTATGATAATTATATATATATACATTATACTAGGTAGCAAGAGACAAGTTTTCTGTGTTTATGTATATATATTCTTGTATTTTCATATGTTTTTATTGTTGCTGTTTTGTTGTTATTCACCTGTCTGTACAGCAGTTACCTAGGCTCTTTTACATGTGCTCTATAAATAAAGATGTGTTTTTTTTTGTTTTTTTTACTTGTATCCCACACAACTGCACACCAATCACATCAACCCCAAAGCTGTCAGTCTCATATTGCATCAGTAGGGGGAGTGGGGTCAGTCTGGTGGCTAGGTAGCAGAAGATCAGCTGTTTCTGCGGTGGTGGGCTGCGCTTCTGTCTGTAACATGAAGCCCCCAGACCCACAAGAACCAGCCCTGCACTGCGTTTACAATCTGGCTCCCACGATAAACATGATTGTGCAATGCTCTTGTTTGCGATAATAGGAGTCCTGCACTGTGAGCGAAGGAGGAAGAGGAGGGGGAGGAGGTCCTAGCAAAGACCCTGAAGAAAATGAGGGATTGGAGGAGGGGAACTCTACAGTGGGAGTCGCATTCTCAAAATTAAAAGTTGTAGCCTATTAGTCTGCGTTTGGTAGCAGAGCGCGCGCCCATGCCTAGCCTCCGCTGCTAATAGGAAAAGATGTGTGGAAGTGTATGATTTATGGTTGCACGCGGGCCGGGGTGGAATAATTTGGTGCAGAACGGGTACTTACTGAACGGCAACAACTCGGCTACTTATCCGTACTTTCTGGTGATAAATTAGCTCTTGTTTAAAGTAGCTAGAGACCCATTTTTCATTTTGATTACTACACTTGATATCTCTTTCTTTCTCACTCTCTCTTTGTCAGCACTGGTTCTTAGCATTTTTTGTGTATGCCTTCGTATATGTGTGTTTTGCCCTTATCCTCGCTCATCCTGCATGGCTACATAAGGGGTTTTACACCCGGTAGGAACATACTCGGTTACTATTCTTGTTCACATTTTGGGGGAGTTCACCTGGTCTGGAGGCTATATGTCCAAAAAATGTAAAAATGCACATTATTTTGGGGCATCAAACCGAGCATGTTTCAACTACCTCTCACCGTGGTTGGTAAAAGTCTGGTCCACATGACTCTGGAACAGTTCGGTCCACATGAGTATTTGTGATAGTGGATGAGGTTCTTCTCTAGTCTCTCTCTGGTCTCTCTCTGGTCTGTCTGGTCTCTCTCTCGTCTCCCTCTCTGGTCTCTCTCTTTGGTCTCTCTCTGGTCTCCCTCCCTGGTCTCTCTCTTTGGTCTCTCTTTCTGGCGCAATGTTTGTGCAGCCCATCTTCATAGAAAATACTCTTTTCCAGCTTCAAAACTGTAATAATGCCACAATTTGAGTGCAGAAACTATAGTATTTTGTGTCATATGTTTTGTAATGCTTCTCTATGTGAGCTCTAGAGAAAAAGTATACCATAGAGAGAAAAAAACCTCATTTTTTGACGTAGAAACTAGCACAAATCTTTCCACTTTTGCAAAGAAAACAGTAGTGATCATGACGGATGCCTGGACAGTGGCGATAATTGCGTGTAGCTATAGCGTTGGACCTGCTCTCAGTGACCGTGAGCTGTCCCGCTGCCAGCTGGACACGGGGCTCCTGTCACTCAGCGGCCGACCCCTGGCGAGACCTTCCCCTGCGCAGACAAGGTTCCCATTGATCCCCTCCGTCGCCCCACTGACAGGAAGCAGCCTCCATGGGGGAAATAAGCAAGTGAAATATTAAGTTATAAGTCCTGCCACCGATCGATACTTTGAGTGGGAGGTTGGGGGAGAGGGTGGCAAGACCCGGGTCCCAGGTCCCGTGCGGCTAGACCCCGAGAGCCAGCAGTGGCCGCCGGGTTAATACGATTGAGGTCTGTGGATCACCAGAAGGCACGCGGCCAGAGCATCACCACCCCGCCCGCCCCCAGACCACAGCCACACGCGAGCCAAGAGCTGAAGTGTTGCCTGGCATGGAGTGTGGATGTCCGCTGTTTGGCATGAGGGCAGTGCCAGGCCTGGACACGCTACAGACAGCATAAATAAAACATATGAGAGCCGTAATGAGAACAGAGCTGCGGGGCCAAGCGCGCATTGATACGCACTAACAGTCACACGGATGTCGGCTCGGAGCGCTGAGGACAGTAGACTAGGCTTGTCAAATGTATAGGAAATCAGATCATATCAATTTCAATTAAATGTAATGTATTTATGTATGGCCCTAAATCACAACAGTTGTTATCTTGGAGGACACAGATCAGAGAATTTAACAACACAGGAAATGCAAAGACAGAAAAGCACATAGAGCTTGGTCCATCAGGCGCAGATGACCAATGTTCATAAATGTTGTCCTTAGATGTATTTAAATAAATGTTAATCATCACCTGTCTTTTAACCCTCCATCATAATCGATACAAAAACTATTGTACTGAACTAGAAAATAAAATGAATAAGCATATAGGCAAATAAATAACAAAACATTTGACTAAGTTTGACTTTTCCTATAAGCAGTGAATTGCACTGTATACTGTATTTGGTGAGTGATGAATTGATTATAGAACGTTGGGATGGCTTTTTGTTTGGGGTTGATGCTGGAATTGTCTTTGTGTGCTTTAGTCTGTATTATTTGATGTATTATTTATTCTTACTTAATTATTTTAAAAAAGTTAATGACACTCCCCTAGATCCCCTCTCTCTGGAGCCAGGAAAAAAAGAAAATTCAAAATGTCAGGATATTCCTGGTTAAATAAAGGTGAATATGTAGTTTAAAAATGTAGATTTTGAGGCCGTAGTGCCTCAAAATATATATACATAAAATTAAATATGTATACGGTTATACATATTTACATAATATGCAGCATCGTTGTTAAAAAGAGAGCACTTTCAGATATTCACTGTATGGAGTCTATTAATTGGCAGCAACATTGAGTTTGAAAAGGTCTTAATTGTGAACACACTTTACGATTTTTTGATTTGTTTTGTGAAGAAATATGTACTAAAGGTGCAGGTCAATAATCCATTCAGGAAATAAGTGAATCCAATGAAATATTATATTACGATTGTTTTCTTTAGTCCATTCAAATGAGTGGCTCCCTTGGCTCTTGGGTCCAGAGTGCTGAGTTGGTGAGTGTCTGGCCTCAGGGTTGTCCAGCTTGGCAGGTGTCAGCAGTTATCTTAAGCTCCACAGACAGAGTGAGGAGGTGGGTGAGACCTGGGGGGAGGCAGGAGGATGGGGCAGTTCCTCCTGTAGAGCCCTTCTCTCCCACACTCCCCTGTGCACCGCTGCAGCTGACTGACAGCTATCTTCCAGCTGCGGGACATGTGCCTCAGCAACCCAGTGCTGATAAAATGTTAATGTAATTAACAGATAATGGCTGTTGTTTTTTGCTGTCAATACTCAGACCGGGAAGGGATAAAGGATTGGAGGCATGCAAAGTCACATTCAGATATCTGCCAGCCATTGTAGAATTTAATTATTTCAGCAACACTCCCGCCTGTCCTCAGCCACTAACCAGCCACTCAGATCTGATGGCCCTCTCCTCGTGTGGTATTGACAACGATTGGTGTTTGCGTAACGGCTTCAAAAAGTACTCTGGCCTGTTCATATTCAGCTGCATATGCCTGCTCTGTGCTTTTGGTCATAAATCAAGCGAGTGAGGAGGGCGGCCATGGGCTCCTCTCACCTCGGACAGCACATCGGACACAGACCCAGCCAGCCATCGGGCCAAGACAAATGTATTTATAACAAAAACATTTCGCCTATCAGGCTACGGCCAGCTGGGCTTTGGACATCTACTTTGGGACTATTCTGGTATTTCAATAAGTATCAAGTCCAAACAAGATTAGGTGCTTCCAGTTTACAAAATGTCAGTGAAGGCAGCGCTATCACTCATAATAAATGGGCTTATGCAAACAGTGGGCTTTTTGTCATGCACAAGAGCTTGTTTGGTGTGCGCCACAGTGATGCTGTATGCTGATATGCAATTATTCTAAAGAGTATCAAAGTTCAGGTGTGAGACCATCTTGTTGTAGTGGTGGGGGATGCTGCAGGCTGCTGGAGATTACCACAGGAATATTCCATGAATAAAGAGAAAAACTTGGGCTGATAAGGAGAGCCTGAGCGTATGATAAAATGCATACCATAATGGATGATTCATATTTTGTTTTTGGTCCGGCTTTAGCTGATGTGAGTGATAATTCTGTTGTGTGCAGGACTGTTGGCTGAATTTACTCTTTGAAATTTTATCAGTCCATCTTCAGTTATTGTACTCCCGCCCCCAATTAACCCAGTTTGCTGTACTAATGACACCTAATTATCATTTGTTTAACAAGATTGCTCTCATTGCCATAATGAGAAAAACTCCTTCAAATGTTGTGCCATGTACAAGCTCCTTTGTGCTGTTATTAGCAGGAGTGTTTCTGCAATCACCTCTAATTGAAGTGTTAATTAAATCAGATGTTGCACAACAAAGATGCTGTTGAGAAGAGTGTAGCAGCAAGCCAAACACACCCCTCATACGCCATTACTGTAACTGGGCTCAACAAACAAACACTCGCCCAATTCATCACTGCAAACAAGGACAGCCAATCGAAGGAGGTGATCCCCCCCTAAACCCCGCCTCCGTTACCCCAGCGTTGTTCCAGTGTGAGGTTCTGACACTTGACCTTGGTGACCAGTCGATATTCACTTGACCTGAATTGGCTACGAACGAGCAAAACAGCCCAGCTAGCAACAATACAAAACAATTAAACCAGCTTTGTTTGTGTCTTTGTTCTACTTTTTTGTAACTATTTACACTGCAAAAAATTACAAAACATGATGTAATAATTGCTTAAAATTAGTAATTGTTATGTTGATTTGAGTACATTCTGACTCAGAGCTATTTAGGGAGACTTTTTGAAACAGTCAAAATGTGCTCGAATTGAGAGCAATTTTCTGATATTTGAGCAATTTTTACTTATTTTTCATAACCTTTTTGCAGTGTTTTATCACTAGTATTACTGATGGTTTATTTTTTGGCACAATGGAAGTAATAGTGGAAAAAAGGATAAAAGAACATAAACTGTGTCTTGCTATGCTGTATGTGAAAAAAGTGTGAACTAATGAAGATGAAACAATAAAGTAACAATCAAACAAGCTGTGACTTTACTGGATCGCTTCATATAGATGTTTACAATTAACAACAATATCCCTTTAATTTACACTGTTCAAATTATTGACTGAGAGCTGATTACATTTATAACTTCTTCATACGAAAGAACAGTCCCCCTCAAACTAAAGCCCGAGATAACTTTTGACACGTATCTGTGCAGTTTAAATCTTTCCTTTCTGTGGAGCCAGATGATGCTTCCATTGGAATAATTGCTGAAGTCAGACTGGACGTCAGCACATTATGGCTTATGAATTTAGATTATACATTATCCTATTGTAGATTTCCTGAGCATCTTAAAGCATTACTAATAGTCACTTCAGATATAAAGACCTTTCTATTTTTTTCAAAATCTGAATGAGAAACGAGGAAAGAGCAGGAACACATTTTACACTAAATATTACTTAGTGAAAGGGGAAAATAAAGCATGCCGCAAAAGAAGGTGATAAAGATGAACAGAACACTTTGTTTAAAGTCTTATTATGATCATTCTTCTACAAACTATAATTTTGACATCTCCCATTCAAATCAATGAAACAATTTTAGTTGTCCTTGTAAAAGTAATTTACAAGGTTTTAACCAGTGTGAACCAATGGTAAAACTGCTTAGATATCAAAATTAAAAGATTATTATTATTAATTTATTTTATTTGCATAGACATCAAATATTGTTTTTTTTATTTAATCAAAAATAACAATTGTAAACCACTTTGTGACTCTGGTTTGTGAAAGGCGGTATATAAATAAAGATTACTTATTTACATAAACTACATGCAGTTACAGAAAATGTTAAAAAGTTATGAAGACTAAGAATGTACATAAGATGAGTAAAAGCAGCCCAAATGACTGGTCAGGGAGAATAAATATTATGTATCCTTTGTGGCCCCCAAAAATGAGACAGATTGTATGTCATTCCATGTGTTAGAATTTGAAATAGTGTTTTAAGTACAAAATATATGGTGAAAGAAATATCAAGGTTGAACAATGCTTTATGCCTGTAACTCCCTGTGCTACCACCAGAGGGAGAAGTTGATCATTATCTTAATTATTTAACAAAAATAATGTATGTTTTTAAAAGGCACACAGTGGTACAGTGACATCATACTACTGCAGGACTTTTAACATGGATGGATCTAAAACAATTCCAGGTCTGTTTTTGATGAGATGATGTGATGTAACATGGTTGAAAGCTTGTTGATTTACATAACAAATCTCCTATAAGTAACCCATCTCCCTTTTAATTATTCAGTTTGGTTAAAAGCATTAACCTTTCAATAGTAGATATGTTGTTATGACATTCTCCAAATGTCAATTCTTTCAACGTCACTTTTATGGCACATTGCAAGAGAGATTGTTAAAAGCAGAGAGTAATTCTGTGTATGAGTGCTATCCTTTGAACAGTTTGCATACTCATTCACCTTCCTCCCGCTCACAAAAGTGATCCATTTCTCGGCTGTGTCTTTACGTCCCTCTTCTTTCCATCTCATTTCATACCCAAGCCATTACAGCCGCCACCCCCCTCCTGGTGTCGTCCCGCTGCTGAACGAGACCCATTGGCCCTGATTAATCTGCTGCATTTGACTTAATGAGGGGTCATTCACATATCTGATCACAATGGCTACAGCAATCAATGATAGATGGCCACTTGGCAGAAATAGCGAGGGGTAAAGAAAAGGTGCGAGGACTTTAGAAGATATTCCTCTTTGCTTTGGAGTGCGCTGGAATTTACAGCAATGGTATGGCTCAATCTATCTGAGGTTAGCCAGCGTTAAGGGGAATATTTATCACATGTTTGTGTTTGTGTAAAATATATATTAACATTAAGTAAACGGTAATCTATGATGTACACGCTATATAAAGCACAAACGTGTTGCACATGGAGTGATTAATATACACACCTATGCTTCCAACAGTCCCATCTCTTAAGTGTCTGACAATAACAGTAGGTATGACACTTTATAATCATGCAAGAAAAACATGAAAAATATATCTGAAAAAAAGTCAGTACAGCTGTTTAGATTTAAGTAAAACTAGACCAAATAGAAGAAGTCTCCTAAATTGTAGACTGCTTGGCTGAATAATAGTAAGTAAGTAATTGTAAGTAATCTTTATTTATATACCGCCTTTCACAGCAGAGTCACAAAGCGGTTTACAATTGTTATTTTTGGGCATTTGTCTCTTACTCCACACAGAGATGGGAGCAGTGTCACCAGTACAGGAGGCGCATGCCAGACCTATTGTACATGTTTTTAGTGGTAGGGGAAACCGGAGTACCCGGAGGAAACCGGAGTACCCGGAGGAAACCGGAGTAAACGGAGGAAACCGGAGTAAACGGAGGAAACCTACGCAGACACAGGGAGAACAAGCAAACTCCACTCAGAAAGGCCCTGTTCCGACCGGGATATGGAGTCAGGACCTTCTTGCTGAGAAGCGAGAGTGCTATCCACTCAGCCACCGTGCCGCCCGAAAATAGTAGTTTCAACCTGTTGTATAAAATGCCATATTAACCCTGACTCTCAGTGGGGGCTGACATTAAACTTTTCTGTCCAGTAGGGGGCCACACAATAGATAGATAGATTTTATTACCTGTTCGCGGGCCGCATGTTTGAAATTCCCGCTTTAGAGTGAGGAGAAAACACTTCCCTGTTGCCTCTTTTCATTTCTCTGATGTTATAGTCCACTCTTTGTGACATTGGTCTATTTAGATTCATTGTGCAACACCCAAAAGTTGGATAAGGTGAGACATCTGTGCGTGTCATGACCAATAACATAATAGGTCATTCAATAATACATGAAATAGATATATATAGGAGACACTGGTACTCACATGGACGCAGGGAGGAAAAAACCCTTTCAGTTTGGGAGATTATGAATTGATTTCTTCCGCTCTATAAAGTCCATGTCTTCGTGGCGGATGGCGTAATGTCCACTTGACCTTTATTGGTGCGCTGCTTTCGGGTGAATTGACTCCGAAGCATTTGGCCCTGGCCTTTTCAGCTCTGCGGGTGTCCTCCATCTGTAGAGTGACCTGGACGGCAGAAAGCAGAGGTATGTCAACACATGAAGCACCAAAACACACAAGGAAACTGTTTGTCAATAGAACAATCCTATTCATGGCTCTTAGGTTTGTCACTTGATTCCATTAGGATATTGAGTTGTTCCTTGCCGATGCAGGAGGGTCTAAGGACAGTGGTGATGATCCAGAACATCTATTAACATTAACATTGGTCATCTGCCCCTTATGGACCAAGGTTTTTTTATCAATGCATTTCCTGTGTTTGACCTAGTAGTTTAATACATTATCTTGTTTCTTTCGCCTTTCAAATCTATACATTTTAAGGAACATTCTTACTTTCCCCCCATAGAACGTGCAAAGTTTGTAAATTCAGGTACGTGTAATACATATATTTGAGCAGAAGCAGCAGAGCTAATAACATGTGATAAAAGAGTTGAAGTAGTTGACCTTACAACACGTGAGTATCCAGTCACAGTGCATTGTGTTAGTGGACATTGACTGTTTTTGCCATGCCCACTCAGGCCAGTGACACAGCGGTTCTGGGCTGTCTAAAGCAGCATCTGTTGTGGTGGAGTCTGCCCAGCACTGGCCCTGTCCTCTCCGCCAGACCGAGTATCCGCTGTCTGTCACGCCGGGCGCCCTGTGAAGTTAATTGTGAACTGGAGTGGCGCGTTGGGGCCCTCACGCTAAGCAGCCCCTAATGACAAGCGGGGAGACAGCTACACATGTTCTGGGCTCTCCCTCTGGAGGTGGCTACAGATAGGGGCCTGTCACAAAGCTGTCAGCGGCGCAGTATCCCAGGTGCTACACTGACAATCTCCTTGGGCCGCTCTGTCAGACGCGCTGCCAAGCCTGCTGCCGCCGAACATTCACTTAGGCTGCGTCTGATGCAGCACTTGGCCTCTTCATTAGGAACCGTGCGCAAAATAACACACTCGAGCTTCAATCACTTCTCTAATCAGCAGCGCATTACTCAGAACGTCATCCTTTGAAAGAACGCAGCAGTTTCAACAAGAAGTCGGTATTTCAGAATCCACTTAATCATCTGTTTTTGTTCATTAAAGTGATGGAATTTTCAGAGCCTTTCTGAGCTTTAAAACATGCCCAAACTTTGTTCTGAGTCTCATGTCTTGTCTTGTGGAAATTAGGTATGTCAGATATGTACATATATAACTTTACACTATGTATAATAATCATCATTATAATTATTTGGATAGCACTTTTAAAGAACAGTGTTTATAAAGTGCTGCACAGTCAGCATAAAGCAAAAAAACAGTCAATAAAACAGACAGATCAAAAAGAATTAAAGCAGACAGACAACAAGAAAAACAAAATCAAGACAAAGTGGAACAGTAAAATACAACATGATAAGTTTAAAACTAGCAGTGTTATATATATATATATATATTTATCTATATATATATATATATCTATATATTTATATATAGATATATATATAGATTTATCTAAGATAGATATAGATATTGAAGCATTAGCAGCTGTGCTCCCTGTGTGCTCCTATTGCTGTTCTGTATGTGCGCTGCAACAGCAAAAATTCCCCACAATGGGATCTTAACTGTCTCTTTCCACCCAAGTTACATAATGAAATTGTAAATAAACCAACACATGGCGAAACTATGGCAGAATGTGTTAGTTGTATATTATATTGTATATATATATTTGTAAGCGCAGTAGGCAACACAACAATGTGCAAAAGTATCTCTATAAACTAAGGAATGTAAATATCGTACATTTCTGCTCGAATGAATGAATCACATCAGTTACATATTTGAATTGGTAGCTGATAGCATGAGGACCAATACATGCAAACCTGCAAAGTCACAATCTCTTGGGACATTCTTCTGCCTCCTGTTTCCATGTCCCCATCCAGCCGCCCAGGTTAGATCTGACTCCTGAGCTGTGGCTTTTTTGTTAGTGGTGGTGTAATGGAGCCCAGCACAGACGTGGGGAACACATGTGCTAATATCTTCTCATAGGAGCCCAAATGAGCCATTACGAGAGTTAATCTGACAGGCACACAGCATTCACTCCTCCATCTGCCAGCCCCAGCGCTAAGAGCCGTGTTCTTCCTGAGCAGACCCTCCACGGGATGGGCAGATGGATAAGTCTTGAGTCAAACCACTGACCACGAAGCCAGGAAGCAGGGGAGTAAGTTGCCTGGTGAAACAAGCACAAACTGAGTGGAACAAATAATGGTAACACTGTATACTGTATGTGGGACTATTGTTGAAGTGGAGGAAATTCAATTCAATTCAATCTATTTTTGTCCTAATTCCCAAACTCACAACAGAGGAGGACTATACAAAGCTGTCTATTCACAGATCAGAGAATGAAAAAGTTCTGAACCCAGCAAGGTCTCAGTTAAAAACATTATCAAGTTTTTGCTCTAAAATTAGGTCAGATTTATCGTTCAGAATGCACAGCTAAAAAGAAGCCTGTCTCACATATTCAGGAAGAATATGATTTCAGATTTTACGGTGGCTGAGTGGGTAGCACTCTCGCCTCTCAGCAAGAAGGTCCTGGGTTCGAATCCCGGTCGGACCAGGGCCTTTCTGAGTGGAGTTTGCATGTTCTCCCCATGTCTGCGTAGGTTTCCTCCGGGTACTCCGGTTTCCCCTACCACTAAAAATATGTCCAATAGACATGTCTGGCATGCGCCTCCTGTACTGGCGACCCCGCTCCCATCTCTGTGTGGAGTGAGAGACAAATGCCCATAATTAACAATTGTAAACCGCTTTGAGACTCAGATCTGCAGTGAAAAGGCGGTATATAAATAAAGATTACTATTACTACTACTCTGGGCACCAGCAGGAGGCCAGTCCCTGTGCTCCTCAGAGTCCGAGCTGGTTCATATGGAACTAACATGTCAGATTTGCAGCGTCCATGTGATTTTAAACCAGAAGCCTCAAGGACACTCCTCTGAGAATCTTCCATGGCGCCAATACATATGCTAGCTTCAACCTTCAGATAACCAAAACATCAAGTGGAAAATCACTGGCTTCTGCCTATTGTTGTAATTATTGAGTTCAGCTTTAACTATAATTGCTTCAAAAGTCTAATGAAAGATCCATAATAGGCAACGCAACATTAAAAAACACATAGAGCCTTTGGGCTGATAAGGCGGATGACCAATGTTCATAAATGTAAATAGATGTCCATAAATGTCGTTGAATGTCAAATGTCCTGCATGATCTCAGCTTGTGAGAAGAATCGGATGTTTGTATGCCGCAAGTTTTCATGTAGTAATGTAAACCTTAATCAATAGATGATGGAGCAAAACAAAGCTGATTGAGAACCATTTAACTGGTCACAATGAGGTGTTTTAAAGCACTGTTAAAGCTGCACTAACTGACTTTGAGAAATGTTCGAATAAGAACGCCGAGCTCGCTCTCTCTGCTCGCCCTCCCCGCATGAAGCTTTCGGCCCCCACTACCCCCCTCCCCCTCAGCATGCGCTCACATGCTAATTGTATATACGGAGCTCACGTCTCACAATATGGACATTTGAACGTGGATGGCGTGACCATAGAATGATAGAACAGGGAAGCGAGGAGGAACGAGACTTTCTTTTGGCTGTTTCGCTGTGTAAGCAGTAACCGGTAACGAAGACACTGGAAGCTTCAGGTTAGCCTCCGCCGCTTGTTTACCTCCTCTGTCTGTGCTAACCAGAGACTTGTAGCTTTTCTCAAGAAAGCGGGGGCCAGTGGTCCGCTGTGATTGGTCACAATCTGGACCCGAAACACATTCTCTTCCTTGTTGCACCAAAACTTGATCTAAAATAAAATGACACGCCAGTACAAATCTGCGTTACTTTTTCTTCAAAAGGACGTATATCCCAATGCACTACATGGTTAAGGATTGCATTTTCTTAATAAATACAAAAATAAAGTCAGTTAGTGCAGCTTCAAAACACCCACTCTGGTAACCCTAACCCTAACCAAAGAAAAATAACAATTGTAAAGCGCTTTGTGACTCTGGTCTGATAAAGGCGCTACATAAATAAAGATTACTTACATACTTAGTGCCTATGCAGAAGGGTCTAAGGACAGTGATGATCCAGGGCATTTAAGTTTATTTACGGACATTGGTCATCTTACACCCTATGGACCAATGGCTCCTATGTTTTTTGTTATTACTGCATTTCCTAAGTTATTCTCTGATCTGTTGTTGGCGAATTGAACATTTTGTAAAATCCTATGCAACAACGCTATGATTGAGGGCTATACACAACAAAATTGAATTGAATTGGATTTAAAATTTCAGATTTCAACATTCTTGGCCAAGTTTACTTTGGGCATAGGAATGGAAAAGAGTCCTGTCAAATTCTTATTGTGGTGTGGACCTTACCAGAGAATGCAAAGGTGGTAAGAACCTTAGACTGTACAACATACATGGACAAGTCTAACCCCCCAGCTCAATGAAGCCTAATAGGGAACTGCTCATGGACAAAGTTTTGCTCCAACTCGCTCTGGCTCCTATTGACTAACATTGAAAATTAAACTAGCTCAGTTAACGTTTGTGTCACACTCAACATTGTGGGCTTAAAGTGATAGTCTGTAACTCTATATTAATTGCAAATTTTAAGAATTTTATTAAATTGACCTCCTGAATTGATATGAAATAAGTAATTTTATGAATTATAATATTACGGGTAAGTCCCGCCTTTCCTTCTCTTGGCTATAGCTCAGAATCCACGATGCCGTCCACGTTAACCAATCGAGTCATGCCAAGGGCTGTCAATCATCGGCGCTGATGCTTGTAGTTGCGCGCATGCTCTGTTGTTTGTTTTCACGGAGCCTCTGAATCAAGCCTCTTAGGCTCTGAGACTACATGAAAACTGAACAAAGAATTCTGAACATCCGCGCTGAGTTACTCATTTATATACTGAACCTATATCCATAATCAGATCCTCTGCAGATGTGTTCTATAATGTGTAATTCATGATAATAGCTACTTCCAGGTTTGCGCTTTTTTCGTGCATTAAAACATTTTTTTTTTTCATGAAAACGTTAACAAATAATTCTGAAAACCTCCGTACATGTGTATTAATAATGTTTATTGTTGGAAACTATTGACACTGTTTCCAATTGACACTTGTCACTTTTGTTGTACATAATTATTGTCACTTTATTGTACATATATCCTGCATGTAACATGTTTGCACATTTCCTCCCTTTGCACAATCTGAGTGTCTCTATCCATGCCAAATGTGACATGTAAATTTCTCCTCTGTGAGATAAATAAAGCAATCTTATCTTATCTTATCTTATGTATAATGTGTTCTTCCATTAACATTTGAATGTGTTACGGAAACGTAGGTGTAGACCAATCAGAAAGGAAGGGGGAGGGAGTTTGCGTTGTTTTTTTCAAATCAAGTACCTCTCTCTCTCTCTTTCTGACAAACTGCAGACAATCACTTTAAAATATTTGAGGTGTGGCACTTCAGATTCAGATTCAGATTAGATTCAGATCAGATTCAGATCAGATTCAGATTCAGATTCAGATTCATTTATTTGCCATTTGCAGTAAAACCACATTGGAAAAACTGTACAAGACTACCCCAGTGTGCACCAGAACGCACTTTTTATGATCCTGGTTTTTTAATTTTGATATTGTCTCCATCTTTACAACACGAATCTAACGCAGTGGAAGAAATGTCCAAATAACAATTGTAAACCGCTTTGTGACTCTGGCCTGTGAAAGGCGGTATATAAATAAAGATTACTTACTTACTCATTTTAGGTAGCTCAGGTTATTGCTATATTTATGTTAATCAGATTATGTTTATGTTAATTGACCTCTTCTGCATTAAGGCTAACTGCACCATGAGTGACGTCAGCACTCGTTCAGTTCAATCGTAAAATATGAATTATGGTAAAAAACACAGTAGTTTTGTGCTTTTAAGATCTTTACATTATTTTTGACAATTTGATAGTTAATCTTTATTCATCTTCATTCTTTGCGTTTCTCTCGTTATTTGTTCCTTACCTCTGGGATTTCCTTCTAGGACTACATAGAGGCTAAGGCTACACACGACAATAGTCATCCTGGAGCATTGTACCATTCTTTTGTGGGTTATAAAATCCTCTACCACACTGGCCATCTCCTCTCGTTTCCATACGCTCAGCCACAGGAGTAACCTGGAGGGAACAAAGGGCCAATATAGGCTGCCTTACACCTCTTGGGGAAGAAGACATATAACATTAATGGTATCCGTTAACATCTCCTTAACCCCAATCCCCCTTGCCTGCCGAGCACCTCCCATTCTCGTCTTTTCCCCCCGCAGCCAAGCGCAACCGTTTGACTCGGGCGCCACAGAGGTTTCCGCAGAGGGTCCCTTGTCCCCACCCCCCAGGCTGTGCTCCCCGGGGGCCTGTTTGTTTCCCTGCCAGGGGCGCAGGCGGCGGAACACTGATGAGGTGCTCAGGCCACCGTGAAATGCGCCATAACCTGCCAGCACGAGGGCCTGGTGAGATTGCCGTATTTACTTTTTAATCTGGCCGCCTTAATACATGCGATAAAAACTTTGTCACATTAGATGGTGACAGATGGGCTTGGAGATGTTATTACTGGTTGAGGGAGTTAGGGGGAGCACAGAGGCTGTAGGGGAAAGGATGTGGGTGCACAGGGTGGGGAGGGGGGGAGAAGCAATGCCCCCAATCACGATAATTTTTCATCACCCCAATTACATTGTTGAGTGCGTCGCGGTGCTGGCATGTGCACAGCCAGAGCTGCTGCTGGGAACACACAGCACACAGACATAAATAAAGATAAAATGAGGTGCCCTAGGTCCTCTATCCCGCTGACTATTCCTCTGCCATCTTTTCAAACTGATGGAGGCCCTTTAAATGAAGGCTAAATCTTATTTAGATAAGAGAAGTGAAGTGCTGCCCGGGACCGTCGCATCATTGTTTGTTACTGATGGCTGGAGAGGTGGAGGAGCAGAGGAGGGGGAGAAGGGAATGGTTGCTTTTTGCATGTTTTTATGTTTTTATTCAGGGAGATTGAATGTGTTTTGTTTGCAGGCACACAGACCACATGCCCAGAATATCTGTCAGCTCACAGATAGACAGCTATGTTTTCTATTTTTAAGTGCGCATTTGTGAACTGAGTCCCTTGGTAATAAAATTTCATTGTTGTATATCCATCCTAATGTCCTTTCATATCTCCTGGCGCTGCAGTGCATAGAATACAATATCAAAATATTGCTATTCTTTATTGCCTGTGCTTTATGGCTCAACATCTCAATGCGCGTCTGCTTCACAAACATTTTGCTTGAGCCGTGAAGCACAGAAGTGCCGCCTCCAGCTGCACAAGTTTAGCAAGTGTTTTTGTTTCTAATTGTTGTGGAAATGAAATCAGAGTGTTTGTGACATGATTGCTGCAGGTAATGAGAGGCTGGGCCCTGCGCGCGCATCATTAGGAGCTCAGAGGCTCCCATACTCCACGCTGGCGTAAGCCGCTAATGAAAAGAATGTAGTCACAGATCTCATTTTTCAGGCAATTCTTGTGTAAACCGGAGATTTTCCAGTGTATGCACAGTGGAACAGGGGCCTCACATAAATCACACAGACTGGCTGCCTCCGTGAGGAGAGGGGGTCTGAGCACACGCTAACCACACAGACATATGCTGCAGGAAACTGGAAATCTGCGGCACCACTACACCTGTCCACCCTCTCAGCCCCACACTCTCCTCCATCTACTCTCAAGCCATCCATTAGACCTGCACGATCAACCAAAATTGCATCGAAATTGCAAGTTTCTTAGTTGTTATTGGCCGATTGCAAAGACTGCAGTTTGTTGAAGTTCTTAAGCAAAATATCAGTTTGGAGAAAGTTGTTTTGGTTTGAGTAGATTCTGAAGATTTGTCAATCGAATGCAAGTAGTCAGACAGAACAGAAGCATTATTAAAACTACATTTCTGAATTAATTACTGCATATGTTATTTTTTGTTTCTTTTGTGGTTGTTATATAATTACACTTTTTTTAAACAGAATATTAAAAATCACATCACAATCACAAATTCAGAATTACTTTTCCAAAATTGTGCAGGACAACTATACATCCTTAGGGCCTTTCACCTCCTCTCTCCTCTGCTCCATTCTCCCCTCTTTCCATCTCCTCCACTCCCTCCTCCCCTTTCCTCTCTCCCTTACTCCCTCCTCCTATCTCCTCCCCTTCCTCTTCTGCACCTCTCTCCTCTCCCCTCTTTCCATCTCCTCTCTCCCTTCCCTTCTCCTCTGCTCTCCCCTCTTTCCATCTCCTTCCCTCCCTCTCCTTTCCTCTCCTCTCCTCTTTCCATCTCTTCCCCTCCCTCTCCTCTCCTTTCATCTCCCCTCTTTCCATCTTCTCCCCTTCCTCTCCTCTACACCTCTCTATCCATCTCTCGTGCTGTCAGACAGCCCAGCCCCCACACACACCCTAACACCCCTCTACCCGCAGGCAAACCAACCAGCAACGCCTGCATGCAGCCACTCAAATGGGTCATTTTTTAATTAAATACAATATTAATTACTGCGAGCATCATTAGCGATATGTGAGATTTGACTAATTAGTGTAATAGTTTTGGAGTCACGCTCATTAAATATGAAAATTACAGCAGTAGAAAGGATAGGTTCCGTGATCAATCTTGTATGGACAGAAAGGAAATGATTTAGAGAATAGCTTTTATTGTACAATTAAGTCCATTACAACCTGCCAGGGAAGAATAAAGAGAGCTGGGGCTTCAGAGGCAGTTAAGAGTTTCGTCAAGTGCTGCCTTTGCCCGTGGATTCTGTCACTTTCAAGAGCAATTTCCTGCAGTAACTAGAACAGACGCGTGCCCAGGAGAAGAATACTATCCACACAAGGCTCTCTCCACTCAATCAGGACTGCACCAGATCAATGTGGACTTGTGGAGCTAACACACTCCAGTAAAGTTCATTTAACGACTGCGTATTGAAGTCCGCTCTGCTATTTCAATAATGCAAACAACAGGAATGTGAACCTACACAGCATTGAGCCAATCTTGCAGCTATATCCGTGACTTATCAGCAGTGGGGGAGCATTTACTTCACTGTGATACTGCATAGGAATTAGTCGACGAGTTGTTTAAATCCGTCGAATAAGGATAAGTAATTTTTAAATAAAGCAATGCCACATCAGACTCAGAATCATTGTTATTCACTGCAAAAGGTGATGAAAAATAAGTTGAAAATTGCTCCAACTTGGCAAAATGTAGCTTAATTTGAGCACATGTTGAGTGCCTTAAAACAATATTTTCCACAAAGACAAATGTCTCCCTTGGACACTCGAGTCACGCAATTATTACCTTATATTTTATCCTTTGTTGCACTGTTGTAAGTAACTGTAATGTTACTGCAGCCATGTTCTATTAATGTTAATCGTTACTTCCGGGTTTACCAGACAGGAGTACCAGATGACAGAGGAGTACCAGATGACAGATGCTGTGACCCGTCCTGCTCCACCCAGAGGCTACTCCATCTGTGCTGCTGTGACCCGTCCTGCTCCAACCAGAGGCTACTCCACCTATGCTGGTGTGACCTAAAGAGCTGTTGCTGATTATTACTATTATTATGTTTTTAGAATGATCAATTTTATTTTTATTTTTGCTGCTACTTGACTGAATTTCTCCAACGGGGATCAATAACGTATCTATCTATCTACCGCAATCGCTTTTTGTCGCATTAAAACAATATTTTTGTCATGAAACGGATCATTCTGAAAACATCTGTGCACGTGTGTTAAGAATGTCATGTCATATCATGTCATTTCCTTCCCCTTTATTAATCAATTTCTGGGTCAGGGGGGTGGCAATCAGAGCTGCCACCCAAGTCTCAAAGCACCAGTCCCTCGCTGATCTTTCTGCAAGTGGTGGGTCCACAGGAAGATGGCTGCTCCGTCAGCAAAGACATGACCTTGGTCTTTCAGCGGGGGCTTCAGGCAAAGTGGGGTTAAGTGTCTTGCCCAGGGACACAACAACAGCAAATATCAGTGGGAGCATGTGTTCAGAATGTATATGTATAATTTATTCTTCGATTAACATTTAAATGTGTTTCTCTCTGCAGACACAGTAGTAGTGATGTAGCCCGTTGTGACGAAGTGGCCGGACTACTTGCGGCGTAATCTACACATCTGAATTACAAGCAGAGAGTGCGTTGCCATGGGCAGCGGTCATATATTGTTTTGAGAGGTTGGTTCAAGAAATAATAATAATTCAAATCAATGGAGCGTTCTACTGCTGGTGTGAGGAGCCGTATGATAAAAACATTTAAACATTCCATTAACATCTTAATGCAATTAAAACAAATAAATACACACAATAGACATTTAACATATAGTCCATAGACAAAGACATAAGATAGTATTGGGGAAAACCTATAGTTGGACTATCTTAGAAATAAGCAGGTCAGTTCACATTTTACATGTTGGTGTTATAAAATTATATATAATATTTATCAGACTATTTTGTCTGATAACTTATTTTATCAGACAAAAATAATGTATTTTGTCTGATAAATTATTTTTGTGTAAGCAATTTTGTACGAAGCCTTTAAACCTACTAAATAGGTTTTGTTTATTTATAATTAGACTTTATTAGACAAATATACATTCATAGATAAGAAAACAATGAAGTATTTTGTTCTTCAGTGTAAAAAACTGACCCAATTTTTACATACTCGTTTTTTTAAACACTGTTATTGCTACATAATTTTTCAATTAATAATTACATTTATTTATTTGACCTTAATTAACCTAATCTCAACACTAATCCCCACACAAACAGGACTCAAATTCAGAATGTACTGCCTGAGGTGGGTGCCAACAATTTTTTCGCTGCACCACCGTATTGCGTTATATATTTGTAATGTCTAAACATTGAATGGTTAGTTTGCAGACAGACAAGACTTTAGGCCTTTGAGTGTCTATATGGCCGGCCTCCAAGGCGTTCCCTGTTTTTTGCGCGCCAGTATCTCTCTCCAGTGCTCCAGTAAACACATTGCAGAGGAACCGAGCCAATGCATAAGGTCTGGACACTGCACCCGCTATTGTCACCCCCGTTCTGGAATGAACCGCGTGTGTTTAGCATAACCAAGCTGTGAAAATAACCATGTTTGTGTTCTTCTCTGTCAGGGTCAGCTGTCTGGGCCCAGGAGTGGATAGTATCATTGTGTATGTGCATAGGCTGGTGAAGGGAGCACCTCTGGCTGGCACCGAAGGCAATGCTTCCACTCCCACATGTGCCAAATACAACACAAGTTGTTTTTTTTACTCTGGGCAAAGCAGTTGCATTGTGCCCTTGCAGAGATATTACAGTCATGTTATAGTTCACTTGCCTCAATTCAAAAGACTAATAAAATAAATTACAATAATGAGGTGTAATTGAAATAGAATAGAAATCCAATAGTTTGTATCATCTTTGTGTCATCTTGGGCAAATACAATACTATACCATGACTCTGGTAATGACTGTAAAGTTGAATCTGTGTTTAGAACATGATTTTTTATCAAAAAACCTAATAATAAGTCACATTGGGCTATTTATATATTTCAATCTGAAGAGACCAAAGACACAATTAATATGATAAAATGATTTATTTATTTGGCACATTGACCCCGGCAGTGACACTTGCAGCGATGAGATTGATTGCAGCTGAAGATGATCTCAGATCCCCCGGGGTCAAGCACTGGTGGTGGCTAGAGTATGGTGTGAATGGTGCGTAGCGGAGCAGGAGCCAGAGCAGGAGCCTAGAGTGGGAGCCAGAGCGGGAGCCAGAGCGGGAGCCAGAGCGGGAGCCTAGAGCAGGAGATGCAGGAGGTGCTGGGGAGGTGGTGGGTGTTAAGAGCTTCAGGAGCGCTGCTTGTCAGGAAGTGGCTGCCTTTTAAACTGCCCGCTTTTCTGTGAGAGGGTTGGCAGAAGGCTGGCCGGGCTGTGTGATTGGCAGAGGCTTGAGGCTGGCAGAGCTGTGTGATTGGTTGGCTTGGAAGGGGGAATTTGCACTCGGTCTTTCAGTCTGAATCTGCGCCTTCAGCTTCATTTTTTAATAGCCCTAAACCACAATAGTCTTGGAAGAATTTTTTGATTCACCATAAAAAGATCAGAGAATAAAACAGTTCAACTCAGGAAATGCAGAAATAACAAACATATGAGAGCCATTGGTCCGTAGGAAGCAGGATGACCAATGTCCATGAACATTAATAAATGTCCTGGATTGCAAAGGAATGTTTTGTTTAAAAAGGATCCCACATTAATTTCATTAAATAAATAAAAAATAAAAAATGTATAACAATTGTAAACCGCTTTGTGACTCTGGTCTGTGAAAGGCGATATATAAATAGAGATTACTTACTGACCTACTTACTTACTGACTAGATTTATCAATTATCAATCAATCAATTATTTGCATTTATCTCAAAGTGTATTTTGTTGGTATTATCTTTAGGGATGAAGCGATATGAAAATTTTGGCCAATCAATCAATATCCGATAAAAAAATGTCTTGCCAGTGACCGATATTTGTCAATATCTATATCTGTTTTTTTTTTCTGAGATAATAAAATTGTGTACTCACTGAATTTCTTTCTCTATTTTCAGAATGTCTTTTATTTGACCAAAAGGGGGCGTGGCAAGGGGCCGTAGGACAGGAAGTGGTTTTAGAATGGGCGTTGTGGAAAAGCGCACACATATGAGCTTTCCGCAACTTAGTATCATCTTATTTTGAGTGAGAGTCCAATTTTTTCAACAAGAGGAGGATTAAGCGGCTGATTTAGTGACAGTGGAGCTCTGGGGTCAACAGAAGCCACATAAGCCAAGAAATGTTACCCTTTATTGTCCTTTTGGTGATTTGTTAAGCTGTAAATAATAACATTTTTGGACTTAAGCTCCAACTGCTACAACTAACACAGCCGTCCTTGGGGCACAGAGCTCGGATACGACGTCAGGCATTACCCTTATCCTAGTAAACAACTTCAGGCATTACCCTTATCCTAGTAAACAACTTAGATAACGTTATAGTTTAAAACAATTATGTTTCCTGGTGCTTCCTGTCACGTGACATCATCAGCACTCATCGGTCATTATGAACCGATATCAATATTTACACCGATTTATCGTGCCTTCCTAATTATCTTCTATGTGAGGGATTTTAACATAAGAAGAACATTGCTTTATAATAATATGTAAATTATAAAATGTGTAATAATTCATCCAATTTATTTTCTATAGGGGTAGGTTCTGAAAATATTACATTAACTCATTCAAATAATTTCAGAATAGTTTAAAGTGGAAAAACTGGAATTAGTCTCAAGAAAATAGCAGAGCAAGATCACATAA